AGGAACTCGCATATTCTTCACCATTGGCAGACTAAGCATAAGCGGAATAAACTCGCACGTTTTTTTGCCGTTGGTGGAGAGCATTATCTGATTATCCTACAGCAACAGTAGCAACAACCTAGGATATTTCAGGCACAACAGCATTCTTGCCGCTCTAATGGGCTTACCCTATCGAAAGTCTGAAAACAAAACTGGCCTCGGTCAAAAATGATTACTCATGTAGTAGAACTGGCACAGCATACACTCTATATCCACACTCATCAGATGGCAATTGGGGACTTTCTGCTCATAATACCTAAAGGCAAGGTTGCGAGTTCGAGCCTCGAGGGTCGCCCCCACTGGGATTAGATATGGTTGGCTGATGACGGCTAGTAAGCCACTTGTCTTTGTCGGTAGTGTAATTATGCCTGTAATATATGCTTGCGGCTGAGCAGCTACTGGCGAGCGAGCCCCAAGGCCCAACGGAAAGAGTGAGTTTCGTAACCGATCGAAGAACGTCTGTCTACTATTGTGCATATTCGCTATCGAAACTGGCAAGAAAACGAACCGGTGGCATGATGGTTAGAGTGGTAAGGTAAAGCAGCCGCTTGATCCTATCCGCAATAGCATGCACTATGATTCAGCGGCCAGCCTCCTGAATGCGACTGGGTCTACGTATTTCAAAATAGGTTAACATTGCTCAGGCACCAGACAGAAATACTAACACACAGACACTGACTCAAACTGAGCAACGCTCAGGAGAAATAAAGAGGTCGTTTCTGGATCACTGGAAATGACTTAGCAGTCAAATCGACATTCGAAGTCTTGGCAGTCTGCCCATGATGAACCAAAACCATATAAAAAAGAAGACGATTACTTTTCTCTCATCGGAAGCACGGCTTTATAAGTCTGAGCTTTTGAACCCTTATTGGCGTCCTCTGTCAGAGATAAAAGCGGCAACAAAACAAGCAACAGTTCTAGCAGCCTCCGATTAGAATTCAGTCAATCGATATATCGATCTGACGCCGGCACACCAAGACAGGCACAAAATTCTCACGGCTGACGTTAACGCGGTTTGATCGGCTCGTAACAGGGCCACCTTTATTACTTAGGCGAGGCGTATCTATTCCCGTGTCCTGTTTAAGGGTTCACTTAAGTAAGCCCGACCCATTTAATTAAAGCAGACTTGTGTCTAGCTAATTTACCTGGGTCACCTACTGTAGGTTTGCAGATCCGAAACGTCCTTCGTGCAGCCAGAAGTCACTCGTTTGGGACAAGTGAACACGCACTGGCTTAACACAGGGAAATGGCATCCTTCCGAGCTTTACTTTTTGCTCGTTCTCTTTTGACTTGTAGCTCCCAAATAGGCCGTGCGAGGTTCAAGTATTCAATAGCGGAAGGGGTTTTCTCTTTCGGTATCCATTTCGGTCTCCCGCTACGTTTATTGATAACCCCACCCCCATCTCCAAGCGAACCACCTAGAATGAAGGCTCAACGCAGTCAGGCACCCCCTGTTCAAGGCGAGCACGTGCACTGTGGAAGGCGATACCTCCGCCAAGCGTTCTATCGAGGCAGGTGATTAAAAATCGATTGTCAATGCGCGAAACACGGCACGCACATGATAATTGGTTCTCTCTCTCGCTCTCTATCTCTCTGACCTCTCGCCTGCCTCACACCAGAAAATTTAATTTTGACACGTGACCCTTATTAAAAGCATTGCCTGACAAATTCTGAATCACGCCACAGTGAAAATACAAGCAGGCACGCGGGCGAGATGACGAGTCTGTGAATATTCGACGTCATCAGTGAACGTATCTCATTGGACGACGCACTCACGATGAATATTTTCTAATACTATCTCTGACTTGTATCACGAAAACAGACGAAGAACTGTGGGATTTTATGGCATCGGAAGTATAATACCCGTAAACCTGACCTTTGACCTTTCATAAACTTCTAAGATCAGTCCTTTGTTCCTAGTCCACCTGGTGACAGAAAGGCAGGTCTTCAACTGCGAATAAAATGAACTCAGAGAGAGAGAGAGAGAGAGAGAGAGAGAGAGAGAGAGCAGAAAAGAGACGATAAAAAAGTTTATGAGTTGGCTCTGATATGATCAGTTACAGAACTGGAAAACGCAGCGAGTACCTTAAATGGAAACCCTAGAAAGAAACTATGAAGAACAGACAGTTAAATGAGGAACGCCCCCCCTCACCCCAAAAATCACATGGCTTTGTGCTAAATTCGAGGAACACGATCTGGTGGGTTTTTAGTCCACACGACAGCAAAGTGATTTGGCCAAACTGAGCCTTAAAGCTGAATATGGATTAGGGACAGATCGTTACACTATGCATGAATTACCCGTTTCTGCTAATGTCTCCAATGGTGGATCGGTGATCAGATTTGCTTCTTCTGTGTCCCATTTGTGCTGTCTGTGCGCTGCTCTACATCTATCAGTTATACTTCTATTTTTAGTATCCAAGACCACTAAAGTGGTCAGGGCATGTCCCGGTGAAAATTCAATCCATGACAAGTCCCACCGGCTCGTCCACTCAACTCTCGCCATCTCAATAACAGTTCCTGGGCCTCCTAGCTTCATGATTGCTGTTCCCGAGGCGCATTTTATAGCTGGAGAGGGAATTTTACATCAAAATACGAATTCAGTTGCATACATGAACACGTAGACAACATGATTTGTATGGACACTTACCCTTAGTGGGGGGTCGACGATGGCGCGAAAGAGGATAAAGGAGAGCGTCACCACTATGACGAAACAGGTCTCATAGCGGTTGGGCAGACCGTCGGTGAACATGCGCACAGTGAAGTCATGATCGTAGGGGTACTTCTTCCAATCGAAGGCCAGCTCCCGCACCGCGATGTACGTCTGTCGCAGAAACTGGGACACCGTGGGTGGGGCTGCCAGCTTTCGGAATTCGGAGTCCACACTAGTCTTTGCCAGAGTGGCCTGCTTTCCGGACTCGGCGAACGCAGTGCTGACGAGGAGGCCGGTGGCCGTTAAAATTGTCCAGAAGACTGCATAGGCCATTCTACAACCTGCTGGTGCGGAACGCAGGAGTAGAAGGCAGGGAGGTCATTACGTGGGGCGTCATAAACAGTTAGCAACGAGCATA